GTACCAAATCTTATTACAGATGGTTGCGAGCCACCACCATGTGGTTTCTGGGAATTGAACTCAGGTCCTCTGAACGAGTAGTCAGTGCTCTTAATCCCCGAGCCATCTCTCCAGCCCCAGCTTTCAATTCTTAAATGTCAGATCGGGGGCCACGGAGATGGCTCAGTAGACAGTAGCTCTTGACAACCTAAGCTTGATGCCTGAGGGCTACGTGGTGGGAGGAAAGAACTGACCCCCCAAAAGCTGTCCCTGATCTCCACACAAGTGCCATGTCAAGAACACCCTGACACACAGACACAAATAAATATAAAAACAAAATAACAAAAAATGTGAGATCCAAATTCATACCTTGACAATCCAGAAGACTGGTCATACAAAACACATAGCAGAGATTACTGTGGTGAAACACACATGTAAGGCCCTAGCACTTAGGACATGGAGGCAGGAGGATTGCTGTAACTCCTAGGTCAGCCAGGCCTATATAGTAATGCTCTGTCTTTAAAAAAAAAAGGGGGGGGGAAGGGCGCTGGAGAGATGGTTCAGCAGTTAGGAGCAGTGGCTGCTCTTTCAGAGGACCTGAATTCAATTCCCAGAAACCACATGGTGGCTCACAACCATCTGTAATGATGTCTTCTTTCTGCCTGCAGGCATACATGCAGGCAGAATACTTCATGCATAACAAAAATTAAAAGAGAGAGAGAGAGAGAGAAAGAAAGAAAAGAAAAGAAAGGCTGGCAGATGATTTGGTGGGTAAAGGTGCTTGCCACCAAACTCCATGACCTCAGGTCAGTCACCAGGCCCAAATCGACCCCCACAAGTTATCTATCTAACCGTTACAGGCGCTCCATGGCACATGCCCATACGTATACACACGCCATAAGGAAATGGTTTAGGGGCTGGAGAGATGGCTTAGCAGTTCAGATCACTGACTGCTCTTCAAGAGAATCCGGGTTCCGTTCTCAGCACCAAAATGGCAACTCAAAACACTATCTCTCCAGTTCCAGGGATCCAATGCCACCCTCTGGCCTCTGCAGGCCTACATGCATGTAGTATCAGACACATGTGCAGACAAAACATCTATATATATTATAAAATAAAAATATATATAATTTAATATATATCATATTATTTTATAATATATATTTATATCCCACATATATATATTAAAGTAAAATGGCCCATTGCTGTAATCCCAGCACTCGGGAGGGATAGACGGGAGGATCAGGATTCAAGGCTAGCCTCAGCTACATATAAATTACAAGGATAGCCCAAGAAACATGCGACCCAATCTCAAAGGCCAAAACTAAATAAAAACCATCACTGGCCAATGGCTAGCTGTCAGGCTACAGCGTGTGACTTAGCCCTCTTTTAACCACCCTGTCATCCCATTTTACAGAAGGGGAAAATCGAGGCTTACAGAGGACAGCAGGCTATTTTTCCAAAGTAGCCCAAACCTCAAAGTTCGCTAAACTCACACCGTGATCCCAGGGATTCCTTACTGTCCCCTTTATTCCCAGCAGCCCCCAAGTCCTCGCTCTTACCCCTGCAGGAGGGATCTCGTCTTCCTCCAGTGGGATAACAAACTTCTTCCTGGTGGGCGGCCCCGAGGACTGCGGCAGACTTCCCTCGTCCTTCCCAGTGTCCATCTGGGGCCTGGGAGGCGTGGGACATCTGCGTTGGCTATGCCATCTTCCAGAGGGGGACTCCGCTTACACCGGTGCCCCACAAAAGATTGCCAGGTTCCTGTAGCCCAACCCGTGGGCCCGCCCTTTTCAGCCTTCCCACTCCGGATTGGCCCACGGACCTTATAGCCCCGCCCCAATGACCTATTGCCCCGCCCCACACTCGCTCAGGGACTGTTGGCCCCGCCCCCAGAGGCACACCTGGGCGCGTTCGCCCCGCGCGGTTTCGGCCTGGTCTTAGCCTCAGCAATGATTGGCTTCTTCCCCTACCAATTGTCAGCCCGCAGCCTCCCCTCCGCCCCCGCCCCTCGCCCCTCGCGGCCTTACCTCTGGGTCTCAGCGCTGTCAAACTCACCTGCTCTTCCCGAGGCCCACAAGAAAGCACAAGGGGAATAGAGTCGACACACCGCCAGCGCGGCCAGCGCGACCCCCGTTTGGCTTCACTTCCGGCCGCTCTGGCCCTCCGCTCGTCTCGCTGCTCCCCGGGGGAAGTAGCGCGGAGAGGCGCTGTCTTCGCTCTGCTCTCTATGGTCCTGGAGGACCGTGGAAGTTTGGGACGGAGAGAGGCGTGGATCTTGGTACCTAAGAGTCTCTGAAACCATGTGGTTCTGTTACAAGGCCCTGTTGAGCGCTTTCTGTGCTCCCAGATTCCAGACAGTGTTCAGTGAAGAATAGATCAAAGGAGAGAGGGGGAGGGGAAGGAAAAAAAGAGAAAAGAGAGGAAGGAGGCAAGGCATCAAAGGACGCCCTCCCTTTCCATGTGGGCTGACTTGGTTGGAACCTCAGCCCACTCACGCTGACTCACTCAGCTAAGCCATTCCCCACCTGCATGCCAAGCAGCGGCTGCTAGCGACAGCTGTGTCTTCCCTGGGGCTTACAGTCCATGGGACAGTCAGACGTGGTCCCACCCAACAGGGACTACCTAGAGTGGGCAGGGCCGGGATGGAAGAGTCCAGAGGACAGTGAGACCTGGTGAGGAAGAGCACCTGACCCAACCCGGGTGTCAGAACGGGCTTCCTGAAGGAAGGGACATCTGAGCCCCAGACCTGGGGCCCGGTGGATGACTTAGTATTACTCACTTCCTGAAAGGAGAATTTCACCCTGTTCCCACTTGCGGTTCTCGGATTGCTAAGGAAATAGGGCATCGTTTTGTGAATTTAATGGTCTTATATGTTTTGCGTTCTTGCTCATTTCCTTTGCCCATTTTTTTTAAGGTTGGCTCATATCCTTTGCCCATTTTTTTCAAAATGAGCAATTCAATTCAGCAGTTTGTAAAATTAAAAAGGGGGAGGCAAAGGAGATGAGCATCTTCTTATTACTGCCCATTTATTGGAGGGATGCTTGGGTGTCAGTTCTGTTAGTCACTTCCCTAGAGTGTTTCCTCCCAGTTCATGCTTTGGGAATTCTCCGGTTTTGCATGTATTTACCCAACATGTCCTACACTTTCTTTTGGTCTTGGTGGATTAAAGGAGGACATGTCTCAAGGTTATATAACATGTAATCCGCTTTATATTTTAAATGTTTTCCTTGTTATGCTGTGGGGTGTGAGTGTGTGAGGGTGTGTGCGCATACGTTGGGCATTCTAGGCAGGGGCTCTACCACTGAGCCACATCCCCAGCCCCTCACTGGGGATTCTAGGAAGGGGCTCTACCACTGAGCCACTCCCCCACGTCCTTGAAAATATGATACACAGCAGAACATATTAACAGTTAATAGCTGGGCATGGTGGTTCATATCTTTAATTCCAGCACTCAGGAGGCAGAAGAAGGCTGATCTCCGAGTTCGAGTTACTGGTCTACAGAGTGAGTTCCAGGACAGTCACAGTCAGAGTTACAAAGTGATACCCAGTCTCAAAAAAAAAAAAAAAATAGCCCTACTAGTACAGGAAAGGAAAAGGGCTGAGCGGCCACCGATCAGAGCGCCCTTCACAAGCCTGGCCTCCAGAGGGCGCGCCTGAACCGTGTGTTGTGTGAAGGAGCCACAGGAACCCAACTTTTGCAAGGCGAGTTCCCACTGTGCTCTTTGGTTTCTCCACCTGGAATCATTTGCTGAAGTAAAACAGCAGTGTGTGGTGGCGTCCATCAGCATACCTTCAAACCCAGCTCTGAGAAAGCTGAGGCAGAAGTACTACTGCAGGTTCTAAACTAGCTTGTGCTACATAGTGACTTTCAATCCAACCTGTGCCACTAAGCAAGACCCTGGGGAGAAAAAAATAACCCAACACTGACGTATCGGTGCACACCTTCAATCCCAGCACTCGAGAGGCAGAGACAGGCGGATCTCTGTAAGTGTGCAAGGCCAGTCTGGTCTACAACAGTGACTTCCAGATCAGTCAGGGACACATAAAAGGACCAGGGACTGGAGAAATGGCTCATAGGTTAACAGCACTGGTGTTCTCTCTTCCTTAGGACTCAATTTCCGACATCCACAGGGTGGCTCACAACCATCAAACTCCGGTTCCAGGGGACCTCCACAGGCACCAGGCACACAAAACCCTCATGCACATAAAACAAGATAGAATTCCATGCCATTTTTTAAAAAAAGTACCAGTTTGCGTGTCTCTGAATCCAAATGAAAACTCAGAGCGTGTCTGAGATGCCAAGCCAAGTAGAATCCTAACTCAGTTTTTCCCACGGGGTTGAAAAGGAATCCCAAGCCTTGAGCCTGCAACTCTCAGATATACCGCCAGGGGTCGCCAGCGCCCCGCTAGAGGATTCTCCGGTGAGTTGAGCTGAACCACGCGGAATACTCAGGACCCAGCGAGAAGGCGACGCGCATCCTTACTGCAGCCAACCTGCGTCCCGGCCGCCCACGGCTGTGACTTTGAGTCGTTTGCCTTAGTCAAGGGCGGGAAAAGTTGTTCTTAGTTCTTCATCATCCCTAAGTTTGCTTTGTGTATTCAATTTGTGCACTGAGCCTTGCATGCCCAGATCCAGAACCTCCCACTCCTGGTGCTTTGAGTTCAAATGATCCCACTTTCCTCACTCAGCATCCGGGTTCAGCTCTCCTCCTGAGCTTGTTCCTCCTGTATCAACTTAGGATCCCCTCTGCACTCCAGAAGGGATGGAGAATTGGGGGGAGGGGGCGTGCTGGGACCAAAATGAAACTGGACAACTGGAGACCCTCAAAGGTTCCGCCCTCGGCGGTGGGGAAGTGTGGGGGGGACGAAGTGACCAGGCCGACGTCCCCACCCTCCTCTAAACTTAGCTGTGGTGACGGCGATCGCGGCGGGCTGGGGACGCAGGGGGCCCGAGCATAGAGGGGGGCGGCTCGCCTAGGCTGTGAGAACCTCTATTTATAGTGCCCGGAGCCCGAAATAGCGTGGAGCAGAGCGGCCGGGATGACGTGGGAGCCGCCCGGGGCTGACTCACCCGGCCCGGAGTGGAGGCCCCAGGATGGGGGACAGTGGAACATACCGGACCCGACCCCGCGCCTTCATGGACACCTCTTTTACTAGGTCATCCCAATGTGTCTGCTGGGACAGGCGGTGGATGGATAGATACACAGCAAAAGATGTCTGTAGCATGGGGCACTGCAGTTGAATTAACGGCAGGATTTCCACCAAAGGAATTGAACCAGGTATGCACACCTGCTTCTCACCAGAAAGAGTACTGAAATGTTTTAGACTTGGAGGTATGGACACACTGACCACACACAGCCATTATTCCATAACGTGTCTCCTATACTATTCCCCGCCTCCTCCCTCCCCCATGTTCCCTCTGCTTGGAATGCTTGTCCCTGCTTCCAAAGACTGGAGAACTCATACGCTTACTTTAGAGCACCGTCCCTCTGTGACCTACTGGCCTGGGATAAATGAATGGAGCGCAGGGTAGCCAAGACACAGCTAAATATAGATTTCATTTAGCTGATTAGCATGGATTAAAAAGTGTTGGCAAGAAGAAAAAATGGATCCAACAGCAGCTTACTTTCTGTTCTGGCAGCAGGTGAGATGGGCAAGTATGGCTCAGGAGCCTCGTTATAGCCCCAGGAGCCTCGCTAGTCCCAGGAGGGGCACACTGCAATGATGCTTACGGGGATGGTGGGCATTGTGCCTGGGCAACCTGGTCCTGAGGTCATGCAAGTCCCAGCATTGGGGCCGTAGGGAGCCCAAGAAAGGTGTAAAGACATCAAAATGATTGCCGTGCACACACGTGGACACTTGGGAGACTCTATTGTATTTTTCCTGAGTTTAATAGAGCCTGGATGGAATCCCAGCAGACAAGACACAGAAGTAAATGTGAGGAAGAAGGGTGCTGTCTCCCTGAAGCCCAACTGGATGGCAACTTGCAAGGACTTAACAATCCTAAACTCCGTGGGGAGGCCCGGACCCAGATGCCAGCCCTCCAGAGTCTGAGACCAGAGGACAAAAAAGTTAGAGGCCAGCTGGGCTACTCAGCAGGGCTCTGTCTTAATAGAAATAAAGCAATGGCTGTAGAACATCTCTGTGTTCGATCCTCCATCATTGCATAAACCATGCACGCTGGTTCAGACCCAGGTGGAGGCTGAAAGATCAGGAGTCCAAGGTCATCCAGGGCCACTTAAGGAGCTTGCTGCCAGCTGGGCTACCCGAAACTGTCTCAAAATAAATAGTTAAGTAAGAAAGCAAACAAGTAAATAGTACTATGCCCTTGGTTATATCTATAGCATGTTGAAAACATCAAAAATGGGCTGGAGAGATGGCTAGTGGTTAAGAGCATTAATTACTTTTCCAGAGGACCCAGGTCTAATTCTCAGCACCCATATGACAGCTCATACCTGTCTGTAACTCCAGTTATAGGAGACGAATAATAAAAACTCAGAGACAAATATTGGGGTTCAAGCTGAAGATCAGAAAAGCAAATAGCCCACCACTAGAGAGACCTTTTAACTCTAACAAATCTTCAGAGGGAAAGGGCGAGATCCTGTCTCCAGGAATCCTCCACACTCCAGTGAGTTTCTTTCTGTCTCTTCCCCTCTCTCTGCCCAGCTATATCATTCCTGTCTCCACCTCCCTATTGTTGGGCTTAAAGGTGTGACTCTCAAACACTGGGATTAAAGATGTGAACCACTACCACCAGATCTGTTTCTGGATCGATATCTGTAACCCAGGGTAGCCTTGAACTCACAGAGATTCTTCTGCCTCTAGTGGTTTAGCATTGCACTCTGATCTTCAGGCAAACTTAATTTATTAAAGCACAAATAAAGTATCACTACAGGACTCAACACCAGTGCCCATAAAATAAAAACAAATAAGTTACAACCTCAAAACCAGCGACACCTTCTTACTGACTTCTGAAGAATCTTATGTTTTATTAAACTGCACAGCACGGGCTAGCAAGAAATTTGTTTACTATTATTATTTTAATGAGTTGTTACATGTCCCTTGTATTTATCCATTTTCTTTCTTCTTTATCTAGAGACAGAGTCTCTCTGTGTAGTCCAAGCTAGCCTGGAACTCACTATGCAACCCATGTTAGCCTTGAGTTCACAGAGATCCAGCTGCCCCCGCTTACCAAGTGCTGGGGCTAAAGGTGTGTGCTGTACGCCGTCACACTTGGCCCAATTTCCTTTTATTTGTTTAACATTTTTTCTTTCAAATTCGTGTGTGTGTGTGTGTGTGTGTGTGTGTGTGTGTGTGTGTGCAAATGACACAGGGATGGAGGTCAGAGAACCAGTCTATAGAGTCTTTCTCTCTTTCCGTCTTTACACGGCTTCCAAGGATAGAACTCAGATTGCCTGGCTTGCATGGCAAAATCTTTGCCACTGGGCCATTTTGCCAGCTCAGCTTCTCTCTCCCTCTCTCTCTTTCCCTCTCTCTACCTCTCTCTTCTTCCCTCTCTCTCTTTCTCTCTAATCACCAGTGTCTAACGTAAAGCAGACTAGCCTCAAACTTAATATGTAGCTGAAAATGACTGTCAACTCCTGATCCCCCTGCCTCCACTTCCCCAGGGCTGGGAAGACATATTCAACCACCACATCTGGCTGCACAGAGCTTGGGACTGGGAGAGGACCCAGGGCTTCGAGCGTGCCCACCATATCTGGCTGTGCAGTGCTGGGGACAGGGACTGGGACCCAGGGCTTCATTCATGCCCACTATATCTGGTTGTGCAGGGCTGGGGACAGGGACTGGAACCCAGGGCTTCATTCATGCCCACTATATCTGGTTGTGCAGTGCTGGGGACAGGGACTGGGACCCAGGACTTCATTCATGCCCACTGTATCTGGTTGTGCAGTGCTGGGGACAGGGACTGGGACCCAGGGCTTGGCGCATGCTCACCATATCTGTTTGTGGAGTGCCAGGGGTGGGACTGGGCTTCGAGAATGCTGGTCCAGCTCTCTGTCCAGTGGGCCTCCTCCCAGCCTGGGACTTTAGAGGAATAAACCGAGGTTCAGAGGGGTTAAAGTTACAGCTGGGCAGGTCCAGGGCTGATACTAGAACCAGAGTAACACACAAGACTGTGGTCTCCTGTCACTCAGAACCGTAGGCCGCTACTGCCTCTGAGATTATTGTTAACTTGTGTTTGTGATTTTTACATTTATCTGGGAGGGGAACATGTAGACAGTACTCATATGGAGGTCAGAGAACAACTTTCAGAAATGTTTCTCTTTCCTTCACCATGAGGGTCCTGGACATTGAGGTCAAGTCATCAGACATGGTGACAAGTTTTTTTACCAACTGAGCCAGCCGTCTTGCTGTCCTGGTGACTTTTTGTATTTAATTTTATCCAGCCATCCATTCATTCACTAAGAATAGGGTCCCTTGTAGCTCAGGCTGGCCTTAACCCTTGCCCTTCTGCCTCACAGCCTGACTGGGGTGACTGGCATGGGCCATCAGGAGTAGCTGTTTTGTTTTGTTCGCAGCAGGGGCTCCCTATATAGGCCAGGCTAGTTCAGGAATAAACTAAATCCTCTCAAAAAATATCAGCAAGGGCTGCAGAGATGGCTCAGAGGTTGGGAGCATTGCCTGCTCTTCCAAAGGTCCTGAGTTCAGTTCCCAGCAACCACATGGTGACTCACAACCATCTGTGGTGAGGTCTGATGCCCTCTTCTGGCCTGCAGACATACACACGGAGGGAATATTACATACATAATAAATAAATAAATAAATAATTTTAAAAAAGAAAAAAAAAGAAAAAAGAAAAAATACCAGCAATACACCTGTCTCGATTTCCCAGAAAGTGAGTTCATACGTGGGAGCCAACACACTTGACTTGAGTGTTGGGGTTTCTTGACAATTTTACTTGTGTTAGGAGGCAGCGTGGCACGTGCAGACCACAGCACACATGTGGAGGTCGGAGGACGGCTTCACGGAGGCTGGGCACATGCATGGCATAGCACACATGTGGAGGCCGGAGGACGGCTTCATGGCGTCAGTTCTCTCCCGTGTTTACAAGGCTCCAGGATCTGCCGCTGGTTGTCAGGCTTTCGAGGCCAACCCCTTTCCCTTTCCCTGCCAAGTCATCTCACAAGCCAGAGTCTGAGGTTTTAATTGGCTTTCCTTCTCCCCCCAAAACAGGGTCTTGCTGTGTGGCTCAGATGAGGCAGGAACAGGTGACAATCAGTCATCTCTCAAGCTCTTGAGAACTGGGTACAGCTTAATTTTTATTCACAAAATGTACATAAATGTGACTCTGTTGAGAAAATTACAGAAACTTAATACCCTGAGTCCCCAGGAGGTGTGGCTCAGTGACAGAGCCCCTGCCTAGAATCCCCAGTATTGTTACTCCTTACGTGCTTGCTCGGTGTGGCTTGGTACTCTTTGGGGATGCAGCAGTGGAGGAGGCTCAGGTGTTCTTTGAGATCATGAAACTCAAAGAACGAGTCATACCAAAGAATGAGACTACACCAATCGATGAGGAAGGATGAGTCGATAAGGCCTTTTCAGCAGCACCTCTAACAAACTAATCAAATCACCAGTGAGGAACTGGGTGTGTGGCTGACGGTGCAGCGCTTGTCTATCTCGCTGAAAGCTGAGTTCCACCCCAAGCAACAGAACAAAAAAACAAAAACAAAAACAAAAACAAAAAAAGAGAGAAAGAGAGAGAAAGAAATGGGCTGGATGTGGTGGTACATGCCTTTAACTCCAGAACTTGGGAGCCAGAGGCCAATGAAGCTCTGTGAGTTCAAGGCCAATCTGGTTTACCTACCAAGACCCTGTCTCAAAAGGAAATAAGGACTAGTGAATAAAGGTGGCTCAGGGGAGCAGTGCATACCTGCAACCCTAGGACTCTGGAGGAAGAAAGGCAAGCTCAGATATTCAAAGCCATCTTCTTTGGCAGGCAAGGGTGACAGCCGATCTCTCCGGCTTCTGCCATCCCATCCACCCATCCCAACCATCCAAGGGAGACACCGAGAAGGCTCAGTGGCTTCCTTTCAGGTGAAGAGACTATGAGCTTCCATCTCGGGTTTGCTCAGCATCGGCTTGGCTCCCTCCTGGGCCAGGGAGCTCATGACCTCCCTGCCTTCACTTGCTGCTCCTGAGAAGCGGAGGTGGGTGGTTTAAAGTGGCAGTCTCCTGTCACCCACTACCCGCTCTGTGCCTAACTGTAGGCAGAATGCCTCCGCCACAAATGCTCACCCTAACCCTAGAAGGGAAGGTACTGTTTGTTCTCGGAAACCTGTCCTGCCTCCCCCTCCTCCTAGCCACATGGGCGTGGAAGCTGGGGCTCCCTTCTGTCAGCGCCATCCAACTCTGTGGGAAAGGCTCCTATTCCACACCTCTACTCTGGGTTTCCTTGGCTTCAACTTATCTCTTTTCAGGTGAATTCAACCCATCCAGGCCCAGCCCAGGCCTCTGTCTGCCTGTGACCATGATTAGTTCAGGGGCAGGGATGTGACCCTGTTGGGGTCCAATGAATGACGGCTGAGGCAGAAGACTTGGACAACTAGGCACCAGTTTGGAGGGCATAGTGAGCTCTTTTCTAAAATAACCTTCACATAGATGAAATAAGGGTTGGGGAATGTGGCTCAGTGGGTAGAGTCCTTGCCTAGCAACCATGAAGGGCTGGGTTCCATCCCCAGCACCAAGTGGCACACACCTGTTCTGTCTTCACTTGGGAGATGGAAGCAAGAGGATTAGAAGTTTGGTGGCGCAGGCCTTTAAATCCAGCACTCAAGAGGCAGAGACAGGTGGATCTCTGTGAGTTCCAGGCCAACCTGGTCTACAGAGTGAGTTCCAAGACAGGCTCCAAAGCTACACAGAGAATCCCTGTCTCAAAAAGCAAAACCAAAACGAACAACAAAAAGAAAACACCGTGTATTTGAATCTTTGGTTTCTAGTTAGTGGAACTGTTTGAGGATTAGGAGGTGTGGCCTTGGAGGAGGAGGTGGCTTTGGAGGAGGTATGCCACG